AAAAACCTCGTTGTTTACAAGTACGCATTTATATTGACATAAAGTTTTACACACACACACGTAGAATTTACGTGTCTGCAATATATGATTTAGATATAGATCTATACTGTGATTTTAAAACATTATTTTATGTTAATTTGGAATAATATTAGAATAATAAACTTTATATCTATACAAATAAATAAATTTAAGCATCCATTTGAAAAGTCAGAATAACAGCTTTTTACTAAATGCATATTAAAGTTTTTACGATAATTATAATAACAAAAAATATCTGTCTGTCTGTCTGTTTGTTCCGGCTAATCTCCAAAGTGGCTGGATCGATTTACGAGACTTTCACTGGCAGACAGCTGATGTTATAAGGAGCAACTTAAGCCACTTATTTTAGAAAAAGAATAGCGCAAAAAATTAAAACCCATAAAATCCAATCGTCACAAATTCCACGTGGAGGAAGTCGCTGGGAACAGCAAGTTTTGATATAAAGCTTTTGTATACCAAGTGGTTTCTAAAAGTAATAATCTCATTTCTAAGAATTACACAGAGTGACTCAAGATTCTGCAAATCGATGAGATTAATTGCATTCGTCACTTTGTTTATAGAATACTCGATACCACATATGTACCTACAACGCAACTCATGTCACCTAATTTAGGCAGAGAGAACATCCACGACTTTTCTGCCACTAGGGCGGTGCCATTTAAAATGAGGTGTAATATTTGACAGATTTCATAATGGGGAATTTCTTTCTGTACTATTAGTTATATTTTATAATAATTAGATTTTAAAAAATTATTAAGATTTTTTTGGCTTGGATGTTTGCCCTTTAAGCCCTGTTTTCATTTCATTCGGGATCTTTGTTGTTATAGATTTTTTTTTCACTATATGCTTGCACATGCGTCACATTGTGAAGTTTTTGGAAGATTTTAATTCCAGATCAACCCAGAGGGACAGTCGATGACGACAGTCCCTCAAGTTTATAAGGCGTCTAAGCTATCCATATAACTTGAGATTTATATTAACATTGAAGCACTTGTTTCGTCGTTTTCTCTTAAAACCGAAAAGCCGGACAGACCAGCAAGTTTAGCCGGACATTTTGGTAAAAATGCCGGACACCCTTAATTTTTGTCTTTGTAAAAGACATTTTTTTAAAGTAAAACAATGCTTTTTATCATTTACCGTAAAATCTTCTCAAGTGCAAACGAAATAACAACAATTGAATAAATCAGTCTTCTTGATTATTAATTATTCAATATTCATTACAATATTAATTAATTTCGATAATTGCAATAGTATGTATGTAAGTATATGAAAAATGTAAAGAAATGGTCAAATTAAAAAAGCCTTACAAAAGTCGGACACCGTCTAATTTGGCCGGACACGCAACCAAAAAGCCTTGTGGCTTTATCCTGACGTCTGGCAATGCTACGCGCAGACACTTAAGGGGAAATATAACCTCAAATGGCTTAGCAAGATCTCCCGTTATGCCGAAAATATTGCAGCATTAATTTTGAAATAAATTTATGGTAAATTTGAGGATTAATGTTAAGGGGAAATATAATGTCAAATGGCTTAGAAGATCCTTTAGAAATATTGCAGCATTATTTTGAATTTGGTGTTGAGATTAATGTTGGATGTGTTAGACGAAAACACGATTTCGTAAAATTTTCTCGATAGAAAAAAAAACCAAAGTTACCTCCAAAATAAACAATAAACCGCTGTTATTCATAAAATACTTTAAATAAGATCATGAAACTTTGCATACTAACTGAACTAACTACAAAGCAGTGCTATATATGTTATTTACTTTTTTTTAATACCATTATTTTCACTGTAAAAAGAAATTACCTAAACTATCGGCCTCTTGAAGCGTGATTCCTGCCGCCCGGTCAGTTTCCCTTCGGCCTTTGAAGGGGGAGGTTGTGTCGCTTACGATCAGAATACACATTACGCAACAGGACAACGTAAAATTAAAATGGGAAATAACCGTAGTAAAAATAAGAAGCGACTGGCTTTGGCGTTAAGAAACAGGCATAAATATGATAAACCTAATGAAATAAGTGTCTAACGACCTATCTACTTACAGCATTAGTGATTACAATAATGTCGGTACATAGCATACGGCGCGCGGGGAAGTGGGGGCGAAATTAGAATTTGAGCTGACTTACTATATCCCCTTAATATACAAAACCGCACCATTTTTACGCATCAAAATCCATTTCAAATCGTCATTTAAACGATAAAACAGGAGCCAAAATCCTTCAACGGTCATGTTTTCGCCAAAACTTCTAGATAAAAAAAACCAAACACAGAGAGATACAGATATCCATAAAGTAGAAAAATAAAGAAAAGAGTTAAAATGTGTAAAAAATTACATCTGGTGAGCAGAAGATATTATTAGCCCTCATTCCCGAGAGGCATGGCATACCTCTATTGAAAATATTTTCCCTTTTTATTAGTTCTCTTTTTATCAATTACTAAATATTTTGTACTTTCAAGCTTTCAACTGTTAAATGGGTTTGTAATACCTGAAATAATAGCTTTATTATTGCATAAACTTTATCTATACATGACTGCCTTTTATTAAGCTGAGAATGTTTTTAGGAGCAAGACAAAAATAACCATTTTTTAGATTTTTGTTTGTCTGTATATCCGGGCTATTGTTTGGAATGATTGAATCGATTGTAATTAAACTTAAGGAACCGACAGAGAGCAATATTGGGAGAGATCTGGACAATATTTTATTCAAAAAACTTGTAAGATTTTTGAGAAATCGAAAAATTTATAAAATGAATATGGTCTTTGATGTTTCTATTAAACCTAAATATCGCCACTCATTAAATCCCACCCAAGCGAAGCCAGGACGTTTCGCTAGTAATCTTATAACACAAACGAATATCTAGTATCAGTAACTTCGCGTTGCAGATCAGCGTTTGCCCTTGGCCTTCAACTTGACCGACCGACCTCGTAGCAGACTCGAAGTCGAAACTTGCGCTAGAACAATAGTGACTCCACTTGCCAGTTTTTGTAGGATATCTTTCAAAAGTTAAAAAAAACTATATCGCTATTTTTTTGAGAGTCTTTAAGTTGCAAAAAAATGGTAGTAACCTATCCATCCTTTAACATGCCCCATACGTTGCCTCATAGGGGGGGGACCTTTGTCATAGTTGCCATACTTAACGGTATAAGGTATCCATGAGGTTAAAAATATACCCTACGTTAAAAAAAACATCCTACGTCGAAAAATAATTGTAGAGAGCCGTTGTAGTTTAGAAGATAAGCACTTGCATTGATATTACATGTACATGTTTTATACGTGGTAGAGCCACGCTGCAGCTATATTATGGTTGTAGCACGAATGGGTCGGCTCGACCGGGGAAGAACCACGCTCTCACAAAATACCAGCGTAAAATAGTAGCTTAATACTGCTGTGTTTCATATGGTGAGTGTAGAGAACCGGGGACCCCTTTTACTGCAAACAAGGCATTCCATCTTAGTCCTCAGGGGTGACAACGCATCTGCATTTTGTTTTGATTCTTAATTGGGGATAGTTCCAGATGTCCATGGGCCACAGCATCCACTTACCATCAGGTGGACTGTGTGCTCGTTTATCACCCTTATTCTATTTAAAAAAAAAACATCAATGTATGTTGTAATTTCTTAATCTAAGGTAATGTCTTTATCGCAATTTGAATGCCGATTTAACACGTGCTCGGCGTAGAAGGAAAACAGCATAAGGAAACGTTTTGAAAACAATTAACATTGGGACAGTGTGGCGGACTTTTCTTACCCTAATACCCTCTTAAATATCAAAAGAGGCCGATGAGAAAGTTTTTGTTATTTGGTCAGTTGTAAGAAAATGTTAAATTTGTATACCTAAAATTTTTGGTAATAATATTTAATTATGTCCCAACTTTTTTAACACAAAACTTGGACGACCTCCCTTGCGGTTTTTTATATAATATTTTCAAATTGTATGTTCAACAATTTGAGTATTTGTCGCATAAAATAAAACTTTTTTAAGGTCGCCATTCTGGACTCTATAATAGTAAAGCATGTGCTTATCACGTTCCGCTGAACACTCCTCACTAAAGCCTTATCTTAAAATTAACTTTTTTTTTCTTTGTAGGGCGATCCGCCACGAGATGGAGTAACAACCTGGTAACACATGCAGGTGGCTCAGGACCGTGTGTTGTGGCATTCCTTGAGACCTTTATTCAGCAGTGGACTTGTGGAAGCGCTGTAAATGAATGAATTCGCCCCTGCAACTTCCAAATGGAAAGTTTTTTTTTATAGAAGAGGGGGCAAACGAGCATGCGGTTCACCTGATGTTAAGTGACTACCGCCGCCCATGACCAACCGCCATGATCAACACCGGGGGAATTGCAGGTGCGTTGCCGGCCCTTTAGAAAGGAGTATGCTCTTTTCTTGAAGGTCGCCGGGTTGCATCGGTCCGGAAAAATCGCCGGTGGTAAACTATTCCACACAAAGCTCGTACGCGGGACAAAACTCCTTGGGAAACGTACTACAGTGGTGGACCGCCAAGCATCCAGATGGTGTGGATCGTATCTGGACGTTTGCCGCGTAGTGCGTTTCACGAAATTTAGCGGCTGGGATTAATCCGAACAATTCCCCAGCGCACTTCCCGTGGTATATGTGAAAGAAAATGCAAAGAGATGCAACATCTCTTCGCAGCGCCAGTGAATCGAGCCGATCGGAAGCACTCGGTCGTCGACGATTCGAGCCGCTCTGCGCTGGATGCGGTCAAGTGGAACGAGCTGGTACTGGGGAGCTCCAGCCCAGAGATGGGAACAGTATTCCATGTGCGGCCAAACCTGCGCCTTGTAAAGTTACAGGCGGTGTGCCGGCATGAAATACTGTCCCGCTCTACTGAGCACGCCAAGCTTAAAGTTAATATTAAGTTAAATTAAATGTAAGGGATAGAATTCGACACCAACTATTTATATTTGCTGTTGCTGCTATTAACTTTCGACTTTCTAAATATGTTATTAATTTTGTCTCCAGGTAAGGAGGTGCAGAAGCGATGGCGGTCCATACGGGACTCCTACACGAAGGCGTACAGGCAAGGCAAGTGCGTACAACCAGAACAGTGCCAGCCAGGCAGTCGCCGGTATCAATATCACCGGCAAATGTCCTTTCTGCATCGTGCTCTGCAGAACAAGTGAGTAAAGATATTCATAGATACTAAACACCTATTAAACATGAGTAAATACGGGTTAAATATAGCACTGACCTTGTAGTGGCGGTGAGCGATGGGTGAGCTCGACTGGGGGAGGACCACGCTCTCACAGAATACCGCCGTAAATTAGCGACTCAGTGCTGCTGTGTTTAGTATGGTGAGGGTAGAGAACCGGAGACCCTATTACTGAAACTTAACAATACATCTTGGTTCTAATGGGTGACAACTATAATAATAATAATAAATTCTTTATTTCAGATAATTAAAATCCATATGTGGGTTAGTAACACAATAATAATAACAACAATTATAATAACAAGGGTTCGTAAAAGAAAAAAAAAATGGTTTGCTTAAAATCTAGGGAAATAAAATAAATACACTTTGCCGAGACAGATCATCATGGGGGTGGATCCCTATCCACAAACCCAGTTATCAGTCTCTACACAAGACATTTCCACAGCGGCGATGTATATCTGTCCGCTACGGTCCTCAGAATGCTGTTGTGACTGGCTCGTACCCTGCTAATAAGGGATGCGGTTTTTTTGCGTATGACTACGCATCTAAATTTTTAATTATAATGGAGAATAAATAAAGACGTCTATGGGCCACATTTTCCACTTACTATCAGGTGGACTGTGGTCTCATTTATCAAACACATTCTGTATAAAAAAAGAACGATTAGTCTACGCTTAGCATATTCTAGTTTCAGTAGCGTAGCATAGATTTGCGGCTAGTATTACCACCAAATTAACATCCCTAACCCCTCCCCCATTTTCACAAGTATTTTAAAAATGTATAATTGGCAAGTCTTCAAAGTCAAATATAAAAAATACAAGTACTTTTACAAGTGCGTGGCAAGTATTATATCTATTTTTAGTACTTTCAATGCTACAATGCTCGTTATATTATTGCGAAATTATTCAGAACGAAATATCTTTATAATATTTAAGATATATATTTAAGATAGATAAATACTTTCATTGTGGTAGAGCCACGCTGAAGCTATATTGTGGTTGTACCACGAATGGGTCGGCTCGACCGGGGTAGGACCACGCTCTCAAAGAAAACCAGCGTAAAATAGCAGCTTATTGCAGTGTTGTGATTCGTATGGTGAGTGTAGAGAACCGGAGACCCGTTTTATTGGTATCGAGGCATTTCATGATAGTTCTCAGGGGTGACAACGCAATGAAGTGCTCGAAACGTCGGGAATATACAATAAGTTAATATACGCGATATAATCCGTAAAAATAGTTTTATTTAATTCGCTAGGCTTTCATTTACCCTTTCTTATTTCATAGTTTTAGGTTGGATTAGTATAAGATAATATTTTTTATCTTTTATGCACGAGAGGAATATAAGAATATCTTACTTACTACTTTCAAAAATCAATCAATCCTTAAGTCCTGGTTTCGATTCCCAATCATAACTACTGGTGCAATTTCATTTTATATCACACTAGTACACAAGTTTTTGTTAAATAGAAACTAGGCAGTGGCGTAGCAAAAGGGGAGGAAAGATACGATAGTCATGGGCGACAGATTATTTTTTTTTATAGAATAAGGGTGACAAACGAGCACACAGTCCTGATAGTAAGTGGATGCTGTGGCCCATAGACATCTACATCTATCCTCGATTACAAATCAAAATGCAGATGCGTTGTTACCAGCGGGGACTAAGATGGAATGCCTCGTTTCCAGTAAAAAGGTCTCCGGTTCTCTACACTACTATTCCGGTACGCTACTATTTTACGCTGGTATTCTGTGAGAGCGTGGGCCTTCCACGGTCGAGCCGACCCATTCGTGCTACAACCATAAAATTGTAGCACGAATGGGTCGGCTAGTGTAAAATTATTATATGTATATCTAAGTACGTATGTGTGTATATATGTTTATTATATATGTATTTGCACCTGCCACAAAATCTCATCACTCCACGGGTTGACTTGGAGAGAATGCCATTAGGTATTAAGTCAGCCCTTTGTTAGCCTAGTTATTTTGGTGTTCAAAATGAAGATTAAATATAAATAAATTTCAAAAAGGTTACCCCGACCGAAAGAAATTCTCGCAAGTCTCCTTATAACGTTCTAAATACAATAACATACTTAGTTCACAAAACATAAAGAAATTAAGAATAGACATAAATTTAAAAGCAAACCTTCTTCTATTCTTATCATTCATATCGAACTGAAAAGTAGATTACTAAAATGAGAATATTCAAAATCTTTTTTCAGGAAACCCAGATACTCCCAAGACAAATACGAATCGTACTCCGAGATTTCCAACTCCCCCCAGCATCCGCCCCCCGAGGACATCATCCCTCGGATAAAGCACGAGATAATCGAAAAGCCGCTTGACCTAAAAACCAAATCGGATCCTCCCGAGAAACCGGAAACGCTAGACAAGTGTAGCCAAGTGACTATCGAGACACAAGAGAAGAAGAATCCGCCTTTGGAAATAAAGATCGATGCAAATTCGATCCTCCCAGATGATCACTTCAATGATGATAAACTTTTCATGAACTCCTTGCTGCCACTGTTCAAGAAAATGGACGACGATACAAGACTGCTTTGCCGTATCGAAGTGTTGAAGATCATAAGATACGCGTTACAAGGGCACAAATGTTTCGAGGCGTTAAAAATAGCAGAGGATAGCTTCTTTAAAAATAGGATAAGCGGGATCCTGGCGAAGGAAGAGATTCTGGAGAGTTCGATAAACGCCTCGAAGACAAATATATCAGAGTCCAGACTGTCCATGACTACGCGTTCCGCTGATGGGAGCAGACCAGTGAGGAAACGAAGAGTGAGTATTCTTTTCTTTAGCTTTCTTTTTTTAAAGAGGATAATTTATTATTAACATGAGATATACTCGTGTCAATAATTAAAAAGTACTAAAGAAAAGTCGCACTAGTCGGAAAAGCAGGCCGCCTCCTTATATCTGAAATGGTTTTGGAGCAGATAAATTCCGAGTACTTAACATGACCCCGAAACTTTTTATTCCCCCTTTTTATAGAATAAGGGAGACAAACGAACACACCATGCACCGGTAGATAGATGGTAAATGGATACTGTGGCCTATAGACTTAGCGGTCAGTCGCCGTAGAGTCTACATTACCTTAGGATGCCTCGTGTAGAGGCGAAACACGTGTCGTATTGTCGTCGATGGTGTGTCTTACCTGGAATAGTGGTGTTGGAAGTAGTGGTGCCGGGAGTAGTGGTGTTGGGAGTAGTGGTGCTGGGACTAGTGGTTTGCGCCCTCCTTTCTGTTAAGGAGGGTCGCGTCCGTATACGGCTTAGAGATCTCTAGTTAGACCGTTAAGCCAGTCCCTAAAAGGTGGGGTTTAGTGGGTAAAAGTCTCCACATAACCACGCAGCCGGCTTCGTGGTATGCTATGAGCATTCACCGCCTCCCTCCCCCGCTTTCCGGAGGGTTGCCCATATTTGCTTCGGGCGCAAAAAAAAAGACTAGTGGTGACGGAGTTAGTGCATGCAATTGAGGGAGGGAGGGAGGTGCTCCTCAATCCAGGTAAGACACATCATTGTAATTAGTTAGCGGAAGGTTGCAAAGTAATAAATTATTTACTATAAACATTTACATTTATACTCGGTTAAAATAAACAAAATGCAGATATGACTCCTGAGGTGTAAGATGGAATGCTTCTCTAGCTTCTTTTAGGTAAACCTACGTATACATATACATTCAGATAAACTTTCCTCTAAGGATCGCCCCCTTTCCTCTGCCACTCACTTCTGCAGAACGTGTCCAAACTACCGAAGCATACCTTTCTTAATTTTGGTCACAACATCTTCTTGCAAAGGTAGAGACTAACACATTATTGTGAATTGCCATACGTGACTTTTTTAACACATTCTAACTTCCCTGAGCTGTAAAAAATTGCGCATAACATTCAATTAACCGATTATTGTTTAATTGATTGCTTACGATAATTATATCTTTACAGATTCGATCACCATCGCCTCTACCGATGCCACCAAAAAAGAGAGGTCCTGGGCGTCCAAGAAAGGTACCGTATTCCTTTTTTTATGCGGTATAAAAAAGGCCATAAAGCCATAAAACTCATTTTCGTTCAGCCCATCCTACCACGTGTAAAGCCTCATTTACTTTCAGCATATTCTACTACGAATAAAGCCCTTTTCACATTCAGCCCATTCTATCACTTATAAAACTGCATATACATTCAACCAATTCTACCACCTATAAAGCCTCATTTACATTCAGTCTATTTTACAACGTACTAAGCCTCATTTACATTCTGCCCATTTTATCAACTATAAAACTGCATATACATTCAGCCCTTTCTACCACTTATAAAGTCTCATTTTCATTTAATCATATTCTACAACGTATTAAGCCTCATTTACATTTCGCCCATTCCATCACCTATAAAGCTGCATGTACATTCAGCCCATTCTACCACTTATAAAGTCTTATTTTCGTTCAGCTTATTTTACAACGTATAAGGCCTTATTTACATTTAGCCCATCCTACCACCTATAAAGCTGCATGTACATTCAGCCCATTCTACCACTTATAAAGTCTTATTTTCGTTCAGCTTATTTTACAACGTATAAGGCCTTATTTACATTTAGCCCATCCTACCACCTATAAAGCTGCATGTACATTTAGTCCATTCTAACACTTGTTCTACAACGTATTAGGCTTTATATATGTACATTCAAACTACTACCCAAGAATTGCGATCCCACACCTCAATCCAGCGGGATTTTAGCCGCATTGACTTCACGGCGGAATCCCGTGGAATCCCGCAATGTTTATAATTTCTTTTTTGGAATTTAAATAAATATTATGTGTTATGGTATAATCAAATGTTAATTCAAAAACTACTGCACCTATTTGACCAATTATTTTATTGTTTCACTGCTTATTTATTAATAAAAAGTTCAAAAATAACAAATATCAATTTTTGGTAATTCCGTCCTTTTTTATAGAAAACGATGACAAACGAGCACACAGTACACCTGATGTTATGTGAATGTTATGGCTCATAAACATCTACATACATCCCCGATTAGGAATAAAAATGCAGATGCGTTTTCATGCCTGAGGACTAAGATGGAATTCCTCGTTTCCAGTAGAAAGTTAAATAAAGTAAAAGTTCTGCGGTTCCCTACACTCACCTTAATACGGCAGCATTAAGCTGCTATTTTACGCTGGTATTCTGTGTGAGCAAGATCCCCAATCGAGCCGACCCATTCGTGTTACAACCATAATATGGCTGTAGCGTGACTCTACATGTACAAAATGTTATAGTTGAAATTATTATAGATGATCACGGATAACATTACAAAACCTAACTCTTAATAATGGAAGTTAACAGGCATTTAAATAAAGTGGAAAAAATCTAGCGTGATATATGTAAGCACTGTCCGAAAAAAAAAACTATAGACTCAAAAATAATACAACTCATGACTCTACCACGTATAAAGTCGTTATACTATAGTCTTCCAATATTTATTTGACGTAATTATAATCAATCTTATTTATTCAGAGATTTAGAGTACCTTATCATATGAATAAAGTTTAAGTTTACTAATTGTCTTAGGTTCTTATTTACTAAAGTAAATAATCAATCAAACATGTAACGACTTTATAAATATGAAATAATAAGTTACTTCTCTTTTTGGAAATATAATCTTAAAAACAAATAGCAAGTTATCTCCCCATCTAAATCTTATAGAGTTACATACTCGTAAGTAGCCGGCGTCCGGAAAGGCTCTTTCTGTCTTTTACACTACTTGGTTTGATAGTTAATAAATAGTTATGCAAAAATTCAAATACTTCCCTTTTACTCCATCTCTTTCAAATGCAAATTTAAATGAATTTAATAAACGATTGAATGCTGTCGGATCTGCATGCGAATCCGCCAGGTGTTGCGGGATCCCGCAGTTCCTAAAATTATGCTGCATCCAACTGGATTGCGGTATCCCACTTTGCTAGATTGAAATCCTAGTACCACCTATAAAACTTCATTTACATTCGGCCTATTCTACAACTTATAAAGCTTTATTTACATTCAGGCCATTCTACAACGTATAAAGTCTTATTTACATTCAGCCCATTCTACAAAGTATAAAGCATCAATAATATTCAACCTATTCTACAACGTATAAGGCCCTATTTACATTCAGCCCATTCTACCACATTTAAAAGCATTCAGCACATACCTACGACAGTGAGCAGGGAAGTGTGAAAGGGTAATTTATTCTGCCCCTGACGCTGCTCCCCGAATTGGCGGTTTTCGTTCTAACGTGAGCTAGTGTTAATTTAAATACTGTCTTATCGTACAGTTGCCGCCATAAATAGATATTTTATACTACGTTGGCGCCAAACCCGCAAAGTGCACGTTCTGTGAGTGCGTGCTGTTTTTAATTCTGTATTAGCATAAACCAAGCGGATTGGAGCAGGGAATAAATAAGGTACGTGAGGGTAAGATAAGATAAGATAAGATATATTTATTTGCAAAAACATGTGTAGATAATAATACATTTGATGTTTATTATTGGTCTTAAAGTTATATTTTGAAACGAACATGTTTGACAATTGTGTCAAATATGAAAAAAAAATAGAAAATAAAGATAGGTAGCTGTAACAGATAATTAATGAGTTATGACAAAAGGTATAATATTCTTTTAGTATATCACCTTAAGCTTTGGCCGCTCTATAAAACAAAACTATGAGGAGGATAGAAAAACAAAGTGTATTGTAATATATTAAGAAAATAGCGAACAAGTATTTGGCAATAATTAGGAACACTTCGAAAAATCAACTTAAAAAATATAACTGCGCTACGCAATACTAAAATCGGCTTAAATATTTACTATTATGTTGATCTTGAAAATGGCATCGACAAAGCACCCTTTGACCTTTTATTACTTAATATACTGATAACAAGCTTTCGTATCATGGAGCCATCTATGCAAACAAGACTGTAGTTTTTGAGTTATAAGAAAGTGACCATATTAAGCGGATGACCATTTCCCCCTCACGTACACTTCTTAATTCTTCTTAAAAAAGTAAGTGAGAAATATCCTATTTCGAAGTATTGCAAGTTCCATAAGCTTCTCAGAGACTATTACGTATATTAAGCTGCAATTTTTAAGGGTAATGAGACCCAGTTTATTTTCCTCAGAGGTGATAAGTTGATAACGCATCGGTAGCTTTTTTGTTGGAAATTGGCTGCAGATGTCCATGGGCTACAGTAGCTTTTTACCACCAAGTGGACTGTAAGATTTTTTATAAGATAGGGTGACAAACGAGCACACAGTCCGCCTGATGGTAAATGGTTGTTGTGGGCCATAAAAATCTACATCTATCCTCGATTACGAATCAAAATGCAGATGCATTATCAACCCTGAGGACTAAGATGGAATGTCTCGTTTCCAGAAAAAGGGTCTCCGGTTCTCTACACTCACCATATTATGAAACACAGCAGCGTTAAGCTGCTATTTTACGCTGGTATTCTGTGAGAGCGTGGTCCTTTCCCGGTCGAGCCGACCCATTCTTGCTACAAACAATACCTACTAATAATATAGCTGCAGCATGGCTCTGCCGTGGTAATAAAAACAAATATAAGTATAGAGATAAAAATAAAAATAATAATAATTATAAATATATAAATAAAAAATAATAATAAAAATAAAATATATAATGTTACGAGCTTGAGGTTCGTGACAATAAAAATTGCCGATAGAATTACCAAAATTAACTCTTTAATTCACTTTACACTAATTAAAACTTAGAAAACACTAATAATTAATCACACTGATTCAATTTATTTCACTCCGAAGCTTCGCTTGTCTCGCCAAATTCAATACTTCCCCGACCGCATCTTGCAGCGCCTTTAAATACACATTATCACCGAAACATCCAGAATATTCAAGTAAATACCCGCGCCAATCGACTAGGCGCCGAAAGTTCGAGTGTCGGGCTTCTAGAAAGCTTAGTTCTTCATTTCGATACTAGATGGCGTTGTCGGTTGAAAGATTAGTGATGTCATTTTCTGGAAAGCTCTCCTCGCTCCGTTACTCGACACAGATGGCGCTAGTGCCAGACGTCAACTTAGGCGCGCAACACTAATATAGTTAGTTTGACCCTTCAATTTAAAAAAAAAATGCTAAGTATAGGTATTGGAGCAACGTGTAAATAAGTAATTGAAGCAAATGTTTTCGTTGTTGCCCAGAAGCATTTAGCGAAGTTTTAAGGCAGCGTTAGTAGCAGCGGGAAAAGCATAAGGTAAATGAAGCGTAAATCCCTATATCCTTATTTCTACACTAATATAACATAACATAACATAAACACTCACGCCTGTCACCCAGAGGGGTAGGCAGAGACTACAGACAGGCTTCCATTTGGCACAATCCTGACACACCTCTCTCGCCTCCTTCACATCCATATACCTACTCAAACATGCTCGTCGGTTAAGGGTACTCCTAATTTCTACACTAATAAGAATATCCGCCATCAATATATACCCAATATCGTCTCGTGGGTGTCGTAGTAAGCGACAGAGTGGAACAAACCAGGAAATAGGAGGCAGCGTTTTCGTAATAAGAACTAAAAATTAATAAAAAAAATAGTGCATACTAACCCCTTAAGCGTGGAAACTATGGCAAATATCGGGTCTATGAGGCAATCTATGGAGGAGACATGTGTTCCACAGTGGGCTTTTGATAGCCTGTAGGGTATATTTCACGGAGCAAATCCGTGGTATATTTACAGGTACATACTGCGTAGCTCCGCACATTTGTGCGTAGAGCCGTGGCAGCTCAGCGTAGCTCTCAGAAATGAGGGGAGGCCTGTGCCCAGCTGTGGGACGTATATAGGCTGTAACTTTTACTGCGTAGCTCATCGATCTGAGTATCGTATTATTAAGTCGTGGCTTTAATCTTAAAATCCCAAAAATTGTCGGCATTTCGCAAAATACATACAGTTAGTATCGTAAATAATACTGGATGATTTAAAATAGGGTGTAACCATAGAATACTATAATACATACATAATAGAACGGGGGAGTGGGCGGAGCCCGTGTAGCCACTAAAATGCCACTAACACGTCAATTCACACGTACCTGTAACTGTCAACAATGTTCCAAAATTGAATGTTCCAAATTTCGTAGCAAATTATTTATAAAATGCCAAATGCACGCTATTTACAAATAAATATGTATTAAAATCCATCTTTCAACACATTGAATCGGGTTTGTAGTAGTGATAATACGACGTAAATGCTTGTATGTGTGCTCCCGGCGACGCCTAAGGTTTGTAGTAGTGATTAACTGATAATACGACGTAATTGCTTGTATGTGTGCTCCCAGGGCCGCCTATCGTCGTACAAAATAACGTTGACAGCCATTCTATTGTGTATTATAGTATTCTATGGGTGTAACAGATGAATGGAATAGAAGCCTATGGCACTGATATTTTACAATTTTTTTTCTTTTACATTAACGTGTCATGAAATTGATCTATCAATAAGTACCACTAATTGTTACACATAACGTATCCTATCAATGGGAATAATTAATAGGATACGTTATGTCAAGTTTATAAGTTGAAAGAAATCGTTATAGAAGTTTTGGATAAATGTATTTGTAATATAGAGGTATATAATATTGCATTTGCTCTTACGGGCAGTTCTAGGGGATTTCGGAAATTAGTTAAATCGAAGAATTCATGATATTGAGGCTCATTATACCAAGGTTACACTGTATTTCGTCTAAAAAAAGATTAAAATAAAAGCTGATCTGTCTGATTCTTTTAAATTTCAAATTATAACCAGTTTCACATCTAACAGAGTATAGGTTGCCATTTTACTTCTAAAAAGATCATTACGTAGGATATTCATAAATGTAATTTATGTTTTGTTTTTATTTTCAGGTGCGTCCCCCTCCTTCCGACTCTGAAGAGGAGCAGGTAACACGGAAACAATTTCCCAAACTGAAAGTACCGCCCGTGGAAATACCCCACCTGTCCGAGTATGATGAGACATTGAGCAAAGCTACCAGCGTCTCGCAGCTGCCAAAACCTTTGTTCATGAAGGTCTGTACTCCGAGCTTTTTGAATACATAATATATACATTTTTTACATGGTAGAGCTATGCTGCAATACTACGATTGTAGAACGAATTGGTCGGTTCGATAGGGAAGGACTAAGCTCTCACAGAATACCAGCCTGAAATAGCAGCTTAATGCTGCTGTATGGTATTGAGTGTAGAGAACCGAAGACCCTTTTCACTGCAAACGAGGCATTTTATCTTACACACCTCAGGAGTGACAACGTATCTGCATTTTGATTCTTAACGAGGAAAGATGTAGGTGTCTATGGGCCACTGCATCCAGTTACCATCAGGTGCATTTTGTGCTCTTTTTATTCCTTTTGTATACAAGTGGTAAAATTAAAAATTTTTTAGAACAGACTTATATATACATACTTAATTAAAATGAGAAAGAACATCATCAATGTAGTCAAAGTCAATTAAAAACGCATTATTAAGAATAACTCTAAAACTACTGGTGAGATTTTGATCGAATTCATATGAGACCACTTGAGAAGCACCAGCTTTTAAATAAAAAAGAAACCATCAAAATCGGTTCACCTAGAAAAAAGTTCTGAGGTAACACACTTTAAAAAATGCAATCGGATTTAGAACCTCCTCATTTTTTCAAGTCGGTTGAAAAAATCATTCACTTCTTGAACTTTATTAGACACAATGTACTGTGACTTATATACGATACGAGGTAACTAAGGACATACATAAAGTTAACTAATGTAGTTATATACTATCCAAACTGCTACTTCACTTTTCCGCTACTTTACGATTGTTTCTTAAGATCTACTTTTGGCAAATTTTCATATAATGGAAGACTGTCGACAACACAACGTTTGTGTTCCTAAATATATTTATTTTCTTTACAGATGTATAATTTGGAAAGGTCAAAACCGAACCTAGCAACACCAGTACCACCCCAAAATATGCAAGTGTCCATCAAGTCAGAACCGCTGGACACGTACGAATCAACACTTAGCCATAATTGAGACTGAATTTACCGGCAAAATGTTTTGAAGTGTTACCATGTTTGTGAGTTTGAACCCTCGTGGGATCGTAATACAGTGTATTTTTCATAACTCTATTAAATGTGTATACAACATCAACATTAATAATATCGAAAACTTTATCAATATTTGGACCAATTTAATGACATTTTCTAGTAGTCTTTAAAGACAGGGTCTTAAGGTTTGATTCGTTATAGTTCTGGTTGTTTAGTCATCCGCGACGTTTTCTGCCACCAGGGCGGCGCCACTTCGGAACGAGGTGAAATATTTGACAGATTTCATAGCGTTAATTTTTTTATAAGTGTTAAGACGAAGAGTGTTGATGTTTCTTTGTGAAATATTATATATATTTTAAATGGATTAGGTTAGAATTGGTAAAACCAAACTACGGTTATTCATTAAAGTAGAAGAATTAAAAAAAGTATAAAATATGTAAAAATCAATAAATACAGCCTGAGGCATTGTTAATATGTATATATTTAAAAAGAAACCGAAAAACTTGTAATTAAATAAATGTAAACAATTAAATGTGCGACAATCTGAATTCAAATGGTCACACATTTAATTAAAAAAGAATAATTAAATGTCTGAATAATGAAAGTTCACTTTAGTCCCCTAGCGACAGCTGGTGGGCGTAACATTAATCCTCATTAATTCTTAGCCCTCATTAATTCTTTAATTGGTATCAGCGGTTGTTGCCACTACAGCGGGTGTGGGTGTGTTTGTTTTTTTCTTTCTTTTTTTTGGGGGGGCCTTTTTTTGTTTTTTTTTTTTATAAAGGAAAACTAACTGCGGATTTCCTAAAAGTAAAAGAATTAAAAATGTGCAAAAAATTAAAGGCATTGTTTTGTTTAAATAAGTGTAAATTAGAAATCGAAAAACTTTACATTGCAAGTTTTCACTTATGTGTGTAACAAATAACTTTATCTCACTGGCGACATCTAGTGAGGGGTATACCATTGGCTCTTATTCGCACGGGTTGTTTATTATGCGGTCATCACAGTGAACGCAAATAAAAATTCATCCTTGATGTCTTCGGTGCTTTTTATTATGATGTGAAGTGCGTCGGTTGATGCTTATTGTTTGAAAGTAAGTTTGTTTATTTGAGTGTAAGGAATGAAATGTGATAATAATAGTTTTAGATATTTTTAAGCAACGCTTGGCTAGAGTACAAATTTACAAATCACTATTGGAAATATTAAAGAAAGAAACTAGAGAGAGAAAGGTGTGTCAGGATAGTGCCAACTCAAAGTCCGTAGTGTGGAGTGTAAAAGTAAAGAGTACCAACTCCCATAGTAGAATAGTTGAAAAAGTAGTCATCTGTAAGCGGTAAATAACAGTTCAAAAACTCTCCACAACAGCGCTGGAGTAGCTACTGGGATGAAATGAACTTTGTAGTTTCGACGGCTTGAAGTGTGCTGCTAAACTGTTCGACGCTCCGGGAAGTCTGCAGTCTGTGAACGCGTACAGGATCGCCCCCGTCACTACATCAGATTTGATAGACCGCAGATCCTCGCTAAAGAACACCGATTCCTTCCAAGGATGATTCGCGAGGCTATTGAAATCAAAAAACATCCTAATTTCAATAGAGAAGATGGCTGGGTGCTACCATCTGCTTGGGATCCTATAATAAATAAAATTAAATCCCAACCCAAGCATACAACTGCAAGACTTCAAGATACCATAAGTTCATACTGCATAGATCGGAACAAAAGTTAAAATTTTAATCTATGGTAACCGCGGTTAACTATGACATATGGACGTTGAACATCTCAGTCCTGCCCGTGACCATGAGTGCTGTAAAGCGTTCGAAACGTCGGGTATTTAAAAAGTTAAAAAAGTTAAATATACGCGATAAATTCCGTAAAAACTAGTATTATTTCAATTTTCAGTAGCTCTAAAATCTAAAATAATTTTATTTAGTAAATATAACCTCGAAAAAGTCCTCTATCCCACTAATATTTTTCGGTGCGTTCTTTAAAATTTACCCCATAGCTATATAGTGGAGCCACCTTATTTAAAGGCTTTTATGGACACTTTTTAATACACAGTGTGTACTCCTTACTTCTACACTCCATAGTCCGTAGTCTCTGTTTATTCCAGATGACAGGCGTGAGTGTTCACGTTTTGTTATTTTTTTAACTTCTTATTTTTTTAGCGTGTTAAAGTCCACTACTGGTTACGGCCCTTTCCAATTTTAGAGGATTTACCTTAAACGTTATACATTATACGGTGGTTTAAGGTTTGCAGTTCCATACCTAAAGAACTTCCCGTCACCAGTTTGAGTGTTTTACACCTGACGTAAACGGAATGGTTATACCGCCATCTAGCGGAAGTCTTTTTAGCACGTCCCATAGTCGCCTCTTACGACACCCACGGAGCCACGGCACGAAATGAAGTGGATTCTTTTACACAGCCACTTTTTCTAACGCTATGCTAAAATTATGTTTAAAATAATATTTGCGCATATATTACGTCCTCTTCAATAGGACTATATTTTTGTGTGACACAAAATAATAAAAATAGTTGATCAGTAACGTTGTACTCTGCTACGCAATTAACTCTGTCTAGTTTTCAGATAATTGGTTCATGTAAATACTATTTTTTCATTGTTACCCATGGCTTTTTAGTATTTTTTTATAAATATACCTACAATCATATATTAGTATATCGAGCTTAGGCCGACGAAATTCTTTTTTGAAAATTAGCGCCAAGCTAATTGTCAAAAATCTTGTTAGTAAAGATATTACCGAATGGTAGTAGAAAAATCTTACTAAATCTGAATACATTTTACCAATGAAAAAATAAAATTACTCAGTATGTTACTTTAAAAGCTAAAGCATTTCTAGTGTATAGTTTCTTGATAAGAATAAAAATACGTATTATTTACATAATATAGATGTAGTTGATGTTTTGTGAATCCAACAAGCGAATAAATAAGGATATAATATATAATATGTCCATGCACGCGAATTTAGAGCTTATTGTAAATAATAAAAAAAAGTAAAGTCAAAAATTTGTGTACACGTATTCTACTATAAAAATTTGTTAATGTTCATACATTTGTGTACATTCCATAATAATGTGACAATAACCAATTATGGTAATTAATGAATGTATGTCGGGGGTGTGAAATAAATAATTTTATAAGAGCGATGTTTTATTTGAAAATGATTACACGTCCACACGTGAAATTTATATAATTTAAGTATCGCCTTTTCTTTTTAGTTAGTAATTAGTTCAATGTCAGTAAGTGAATGATTTTTATTTTCTTTGGCAGAAATAAGATAGCCGTAAGGATCCCAATGTACGCCATTAAAGTATTTAACTGGAAATGTTGAGCCATATTTCAGCCATCGACGATGTTTAGCTTTCGGAATGTTTCGTTACTTAAATAAAATAAAACGATATAATTCTTTATTCAAATATTATATTTTCATTAAACGTGTTTATTTTGATGATAACATTATAAGAAATAACATTATAGTAAAACTAAACCAACTTTTTTAGAATTACTCACGCTCTGTAAAAAGTTAAATAGAATGCAAGTTTCCTGTACAGTTTCATAATACAATAGGGCTGCCCCAATTTTGCGGCACATCAGGGATGATCGCTGAGACGCGTGTAAACTACTTTTACATCACTGCACATCCTTGTTGCGCAAGTCCGGACCAGCCCTAGTAGCATCCTGAGAGCATATGCTGACACGTTCGATTATACGTACTTGCTCTGCAAATCACTGCAAATTACTCATGTGATTTTAAATCTTCACTATCGTAGGTGTCGTAGGACATATATAAAACAGTATTGTCACTCAGACCTATAGTTAAAAGCACAGAAAACGCTCATTGCAACTAATGAATGATAGTTTTTGGAGGTCATTACAAACAGGTGTAAATACACAGCTACAGTGTGCAAGTGTGAGGTGAGTAATGGTGAAACTATTTATTATAGCGTTTTTTATCTGCCCAAGTAATAAATACAGTTAAAATATGGCTCTGAAGTTGTAACCACTGGCATCCATGCCCCCTCTAAAATTAGATATGGTCTGTATTCAGTATAAGAGTACCCTGTAAATGTAAAACATGCATGTAAATCTATTTGAGAGATAAACATAATGTTCAATGTTCAATATAGATATAGTTGAAATAAACTGACTGCCTCTTTGGTCTTGTGGTTGTAGTAGTGCGACTGATGATCATGAGGTCCTGGGTTCGAATCCCGGGTCGGGCCAAAAATAAGTGATTGAGTTTTTCCGTCAAGAAATTCTCAGTAGCTGCCCGGAGTCAGGAAGTTGACGGTGTCTCACCCCCGTGCCTCGGAAAGCACGTAAAGCCGTTGGTCCTGCGCCTGATCTCTCTCCAGTCGTGTCGGTTTATCGTCCCATCGGATTATGAGAGTGAGGGAATAGAGAGTGCACCTGTGCTTGCGCATACACTTGGGCACTATAATCCTGTCCCGCGTCGATGGCTAGCCTCCGTTGAGGCAAGCCGCCGTGGCTGGAATTTGGTCTGGAGGACATTATTATTAGTTGAAATAAAATATTTTCATTATTATTATTTATTAAATTCAATTACTTTGAATGTAACTGAAAAAACCGCAGTTGCCAACCCGTTTTACGGTGACATAATAACGTGACTTTTGTGCACATCCGTGGTACAGTATCCTTCGATTGGTGAGTTTCATGCCTCTCCTTTTATAATGAATAGTAAAAAAATCAACCACAATTATCTATGTTCACTTAAATATAAGACTGAGAAACAGATAGATGTGCGACAGATTATTTTATAGTCTAATAGTTACAAACCAGCACAAAGTCCACCTGATGGTAATCATAGAATAAATAAAAAAATATAAAAGATTCCAAATTTTATTTTCATCTAGTCAGAATGAAGTATATTTGTAACAGGTATCGTAAATGTAACATCACTAAACTTGACCTTCAAACCCTCTCGTTTTGGGGAACAGCACATTACACCAAC